AAAAAAATTTATTAATTTATTAATTTTCTTAAAATTAAACTTACTATAAATTTTAAGAGAATTACTCAAAGAAAAATTTTAAAAATAAATTTATCATCCCAAGCCAATATAAGAAATATGAGATATAGTTTTTTTGAATGAGTTATAATTTTTAAGGGAGGGAGATTCAAATATCAAATGTTTTTTTTTTTTTTGACCAGTGAAAAATTTGGGGGATGGAGAAATAGTTACAATATTATTGTACTGACAACTTGAACTCTTGACAAAGAAGTCGAGGGAGAAGATGTACTTCCATCGCGGGTAAGGTCGCAAGTGCGATTCAAATATCAATTTTAATGCACCTTGTGATCAAACATATGATTATCAGGTTAGGAAAGTCAAATGCATATCAGATATACTTTTTTATTTGAATATATTATAATTATTTACAAATTAATTAAAGAATATTTATAAGTTAATGAAGAGATAGTGTAATTATTTACAAGTTAATTGTAAATAAAAAAATTTTTTATAAAGTTTAAACATGTCACTTACAAAAAATGAACAATTTTAATTCAAAATACAATATCACTAAATTAAAACGAGACTCTCATATTAGATATACCTTTTTTTTTTTTAATATTTTAGTTATGAAACTAACTCAAACCATTACCCTTAAAAAAAAAATAAAAACCTTACAAGAATCTCTAGAGCAACTCAACTCATGAGCCAGGTTAATACGAGATACACCTTTTAAAAGATTATCTAACGAAAACTTGTAATAAAGATACGTACAACCTGATTCAAAGATGGCAGACTCTAAAGTCTAAGCCAAAGAAAATAGGGTATATACTGTAAATAAATCCACTAATAATTGCTGTCTTTCAACATTGTCCAAAAAAATAAAAAAAAAAACTGTTTTTCTAGCGGTTTCTGCAATCCTTTTCAAAAAATTAGCAGTACTCCCTAACGGTATATTCGAATCCGATTCATTAATAAAAATTAAATTTTCAGAAAAAGAGAAAAAGAAAAAAAAGATAGGAATAGGAATAGGAATAGGAACTAAGTTCCCTCTTTCCTGGGTCACATGCTGCCTTCCCATATTCGATCTCTGAGTTTCTCTGACTGTTATTATTCTTATCTGTTCAAAAAAGCAA